AAAAAGAAGAAGAAGAAGAGAGACTCACCAATTCCTTCCGGCTCTGTAGAAATCCTCCGATACGTAAAACTCGTCGTCAAGAGATGAGAAATGGCGAAGCCCCCACGTGTATTTGGGTTCGTGGAAGTTCTGAGCGAAGGAAGTGACTTCCCACTTGTCGAAGTCCGGAGCGACGAAGACGTCGACACCGAACACGAGCTGATCTCCGTCGAAAACGTACCCGTAGGCCGGATTGCGAACTACGTCGTACGTCTGGACCTTGGGATATCCCCACATTGTGTTGAACAGATGAAACCTTCTCGGTTCGGTTTCTGCAACATGCTCAAATTTTAGAAACAGCCTTAGATTTTTTTTTTTTTTTGAAGTTTTGATTATGGAAAATCACATTTTGATTCCATCTAGCAAGCTGACCATTGATAATATGAACTCGTAGTCGTAGCTGAAGATCTCGAATACCGAGACTAGAAATATCCGAAAATTATTTTTAAAACATATTTATATAACAAATGCATAATACTGAAAACAACGGATCTAGATATTCGAAAGAAAAAATCATGGCATTCAAATCCTTGGCCAAAAAATAAAGCTCACAATACATATATATATATATATATATATATATAGATGTTCTTAACAATTGTATATATATGGTACCACGGGTATTGGACGGATAATATATGAAAAAAAAAGTTTATGTATCCGTGAAAGTGAAAGAATACATTTATAAAAAAAAAGTACCTCGGTAAGTGTAGTACTTGTCCACGTTCGTGTTGTATATGAAGAACTTGATTTCAGCATATACGTCTCTTGGATCGGCGATGAGTGTCGAATTGTCTATTTTGACGTAAAGAGAAACCCATCCGCTCGCGCTGTCGTCCTTGTTCCCTTTCGGGTACATTATAAGCGTCCTGTTTTTTTTTTTTTTAAATAGTAACTTAGTGTATGCATATGGTTATTAACCGAATAGTTGAACCGAATCAAACCGAATCAAACACAACTGTAACTGAACCGAATCCGAATAAAAATCGAACGGTTATGATTTTATTAAACTCAAAAACCGAACCGAATCGATTAAAAAATTAACCGAAAAAATCGATAATTTTTTTGAGAAAATAAGATTTTTACAACAACAAAAAAAACTGAACGAAAGTTTATATTAAAACGAATTGTTATAGTTTTTTCTATAATCGAAGTTTATATTAAATTGGGTTCGGTTATATTGGGTTTCGAATCAGAAGAAGACAGGAACGTACCAGTTGTGTCCGCCGACGCGGAAAGGGCGAGATTCGTACTTTCCGTCCTTGAGAGAGTCGGCGAGTTTCGTGAAAGAACCGATCTTCACGCAGTAAGTAGACGGCGGACGTTCTCTCTGAGAATCGGCGCGGGCCGCGACCGTCTTCCTCGTGTGATCGGATGAACTCTTCTCGGCATTGTTACACGGCACTGTCGGATCGGCCTTATTGTTAGTTGCGATCTCAATCGCTGTCGTGAATGGATGCTCCCAGTTTGCGGTTTTGCTGTAAGACTTTGCAAATCTCGCGAGTTCCAAACCGAAAACGCAGCAAAAGAAGACGATCAAGCAAATTGATGCGTAGTTTGTCCTTTTCTTTTCCTCGAGAAACATTTTGTAACTTCGTAATTGATGAATACCAGTTTCTTGTGTTTCTTGTCCGAATTGTTACCCCGGATATATACATATATATACACACACTCAATTGTATTAAATGTGTGTATATGCTCGTTCGATTATATATATTTATTTGTATTTTCATTTTCAGAAGATAAAAACAATTAATTCGTATTTAACTAAAACCAATTAAGTGATTTCTGTGTTTCTCTTCATTCGCCTATTTAGTTGTTGATCGACGTCTTCATTGGCTCCATTTTTGTTATTAATATAAAGATTTTTGTTATCTATATACTTAAAAAAACCAAACGCAGTTTTTTTGTCTTCCTAGTGACGATAATGATTATCACTAAAACCATAACATAATTTATATTATACAATAAAACGTGATTTTAAAATATATAATATTTATTGTACAAAATGTCTATATATTGAAATAAAATTTTAAATAGAATGTTAAAAAAATATATTAAATTTGATATGTTTTTTTTTTTAAAAAAAAATTTAACTTTGTCGGCAACTATTCAACTTCTCGTTTTACACCTGAAAGAATAAAACAAATGCATTAATCAACAATTCGAAGGTGGGGTTCAACTGTCTTCCATTATTTGGGTCGTCAGATTCATTACACAGACACAGTTGTGTCGTCTTATTTTTTTTTTGGTAAGTCGGGTTTCCAAGGCCCAAGAGCCCAGACTAATCCCGGTCTACGCATGCGAGCCTGCAACACACACGTGGGTGTAAATCGGCCGAAACCGGCAGGCGAAAGGGGAATCTCCATACTCTGGGTGTTGAACTCACGACGTCGCTTGAGAAAGTGAACTCTTAACCAACAGAGGTGGGGGATTCCTCTGTCGTCTTATTCTTGTAACTGCGTTAGGGTAGGGTTTCGATTAATTTGCAATCGCATATATCCTTTAATGGACTAAACATTTTGAAAGAGTTTATCAAAACTCTGTATTATACATATATATAATACGATGCTTTATATATATATATATATATATTCTATAATAGAATAACAAATTTGAAAGAATTTCCATTGAAATCCCAGAGACCGAACCGAAGGATATAGAGTCGGAGTTAGAAGCTATTGAATGGTTTGACATACGATAACCATTAGACACAACATTGAAAACTTGTCATTGATCGACCTTCGTTTTAAAATCAATATTAGAGTATATTAAATTCGGTGTAATCCGATCAATTTCGATTTAGTTTCTGTTAAAATATACATATTTTTTCTCATAATTAATTCAATAACACAAACAAAAAATTTCCCAACTCCATTTTTGAAACTTTCAAAACGATATCAAAAACCTGATTAATACAAATATTTATACTTTAATACAAAAAAGCAAACCAAATCACTAAAAAAAATTATTATTCTAATGTATTATAATCTAAAATTTATATTTTTCAATTCTTCGTTTTCGTGACACCTCACCTCCTTTCGAGTCGTGGGTAACCACCTCATCACGAGGACACCTAACACTCTGATTCAATACGATTCTTTTCCACGTGTTTTTTTTTTTAATCCTCAGTCGCCCGATACGTAACCAACTATTTCATTATAGGTCATACATCCTTTTTTTTTTTTTGGTTTATCATACATCCTCATAATGTTCTGTGATAAGTATATTTATTTCTATATTTAAACATCATCATATTAATCCATCGTATTTTAACCTAATGAATATATTAATATTTTAAATTCAATATATTTATACAAAAATTATTCGCATGGGGTTTGATTTGGCGGTACTCTGGTTCAGTTTCAGCGATCTCCCACATATCCACCAACTTATGTACTGAATTACAAAATAAGATTCATTCTTTATAGCTTACAATTCAATATATGCATCATATACGATATTTATGATTAATTGATCGTATCCGTATGACACATGACACACCAATATATATATATATATATATATATATTACACACACACATGTATGAATAAAATCAAACAAGAGCATGGTTGTAGTCGTGGTACCGGAAGGTCTTGTAGATGAAGTGCGACAACCACTTCGAAGCGGCGTAGCATAAAACCGCGGCCAACACGAGACCCGTTCTCGCGGCCGTTCGCTTTGAGGCGGCCGCTATTCCGACGGATGCTACGGAGAAAATCTGCAAGATGACCTCGAGGGCGTTCAGACGCTTGTACGCCGTATTGCAGCTTCTACAGTTCACGACGTGCGACCAATACCTGTTTTTAAGAAAGACGAGCAAGACATATCGGCTAGATCAATAGAAAACACAATCGGTCGAGAGAAAAAAAAATTGTCTTTGATTGGACAAAAGGTTAATGCTTTAGTTAACCCTCGAGGGTTCCGGTTCAAGAGTTCAGTCTCGCAAACCGATTTATTAATGGATTTCGGTTCGGTTTTGGTTCATTGGTTAAAATTGAATGACTAAAAAAAAGAGGACGGTCAGTTCAGATTCGCTAAAAACTTAATGGGTTTCAGTTTTATAAAAAAAAATTAAAAAGAAAAGTTTAAAAGGAAACTAAACCTAATAAACAAATATGTACGATTGAGAAAACCAACCCGATTCGATTCATTAAGAACCAAATCGACCCATACCAGAAAAATATGTACGTTGAGAGATTAAGATGAAAAAAAAATCCAAATAGAATCCAAACCGACCCGATCCAGCTACCGAAATGTAACAAGATTTCGATTCCTGTTTGGTATTCACATAGCAAAATCGTTCTGAATGGAAGCGATACCAAAACCGATCTAACCATGTAACATATGGTTATGCAAAATTTGATAAAAACCAAATAAACCAAACACAAACCGAACCCATAAATATTAAACCGAAACTCGATATGCCCACATCTATTTTCTGTGTATCGAATCTTCTGAAACAACATCTTTCCTGAAATTAAATCTTTCACATTCTCAGCTAGGGGTGAACAATTCGGTTTTTGGTCTGAAAACAGTAAACATACGTAAAAGTTCTTACCTGTCGAAGAGCTGTTCTCGGGGAGGTGTCGGGGGAAGAAGAGACGGATCAAACCTTCCTCTCCAATCGACTTCAGATCCGCCGTACTTGTTGAACCATCTCCTGAATGCCACCACGAGCGCATCTGACTTCGTCGGAACAAAACACTCCCTTTGCCAGTTTTCAGGGCCTCTCTCGAGTATCTTCCGCTCCTGCACAAGCCGCAACTAATATAATCGAAACATATTCGGCGGTTTTTCTACACGGGTTTGATCTATATGGGACAAGGGGTGATGATAATGTAGAGTTGGGAATCACCTGGACGTGGAGAATGTTTAAATCCGAGTCGAGAATCTTGTTTTGCGTGATATGGAACACCCATCTCGGAACAATCTTGTCGAAGTCTAAGCCAGAATTTATCGTCCATATTATCCTACTGCGTCCTGGGCTAACGGGAACGCATAAGAAGATCAAAGACAAACTGTGCTTTGGCGGCGCTGTCTGCGTACAAAAACCATGTTAACATCAGTAAGAGAGAGTTAGCAAACACAACATACGAACGTAAACTAGATAATCCCGAGATACGATGCTTTTAATCTATGACCTTTTCATACGCATCCGGTGCCAAAGACTCGCTTCGTTTCTCGGGCAAAGGATCGGTAGAAGCTCGGTAGACACACGGTGCGATAAAATTTGAAAAACCCCAGTTTTGCAGGGCAGAATACCCGTTCTTGTCTATCGTTTTGACGTTTATTTCGAGCGGTGTACCGCCTTCTCTATCAGCTTTCACTGTAGAGAAGATTAAGTGTTAGCTATATATGGATCTAGACAGTAAATCATAAATAGTGGAACACCATGAAACTTAATTTGTTTATTCGCCTTTCGGTCCAGGAGCGTGCATTAGTCCGTAATGTGCATAAGGAACATGAGCCGCGTCCATGAGGTTTTCGATCAAGATATCGTACCTGAAAATTTCGGATTTATATTTAGGCATAAACCCAAGCTTAAAGGCAAGAAAAGAAGGATTTTTCCGAATATAATTTCAGGAGTTGCAACCGGAGATCTGTTCGTTCAATTAAAAGGGAAACCAATGGGAAATAAACAAGTTCCGAAAGTAAATATTTCAGCTTAGTCGCATAAACATCTCTGTTTTCATTAGTAGAAGAACGTGAAGATCTAAAAGAGAATAAAATATTGAAGAATGGAGGTCTGCAAACCCGAAAGGAATGTCTCTCGAAGCGATTAGCTTAGTGATTGAAGGATCCTCTAACTCGGGGATGTAAGGGGGCTTCGTCTTTTCGATGATATTCTTGTATTGCGGATCGGTGTTTGGCCAAAACCAGATAATATCATGCTGCACTGTGCTCGGATAAACGGCCACACACGCTTGCTTGAAAGTATGGACCTGAAAAGAAATAACAAGTAATCACGGGGAAGAAAACCGAGAGGCGTGTCTTGTTAACCGAAACCATTAAAAGATAAGCTCCCTACAGCTACAGCTACTACCATAGCCATTTTCTTGTATCCAAACAATCCAAACTTAGCACATCTTGATAACCGAGTAGGGAACTGAAATATGAAGCTGATCGAGTTCGAGGTCTTCATGGATAGACAAACTGCCATGATGTCCATTTTTAAAATCTACGAAAAAACAGTCTAATTGTATCTAGAAGTTAGTGGTGCGGTTTTGTGCAACTGGTTCGTGCCAATATGCATAAGGACCTTCAACATCTGAAGCTATTAAGCCGGTCAATTCCTGTAGAAATTCTACTCGGAATACCGACCAGAAACCGATGATTCGAATTTCAAAGTCATCGTTTGGACCGGGCATTAACGTTCAAACCCATGTGTCTAGTTTAGACAACTAGGACTGAAACTGCATCCAAGAGTGTTTAGACATGAATTATATAACAGGATGAAGACGAACTCTAACTCCACCGCAAAAACTAGGTCAAGAATGGAGGTTTAGTAGTCTTATTTATATACGAGAACCAGTCCTGATACTCTGACTGATGTGAGATACTTTGATGCATCGACAGACCATCAATAAGAACTGAGATCATATGCCACAAAAGGCAAAAGACAAAGGATCTTTGCCACAAAACTTAAAAGAAGGTGGCTATACATAAAACTATCTGGAACTAGGAAACTGAAGCAGAATTTGGAAACCAAAACATTCAGATTTCGAACTTTGGTCTCAACAAAAGGGCGTAGATGATAGACGACGAAACAACACCATATTTACGTACCGGAGGTCCATCAGGTGGTGCCTGAGGAATGAACTTGCAGTCACCCGAGCCACTGAAGCACCACCCATGGTACACACACTGCAATCTCCCCCGCTGATCGATCCTCCCATCCGACAATGGAGCAAGGCGGTGAGGACACGTGTCATCCATAACCTTCCATTGGTTCTCGTTCCTGTCCCACCAGACCACCAAATCAAGCCCTACAACTCTCTTCCCGTGTGGAGCCCTCTTGTCCAGGTCGCAAACCGGCATAACCGGGTACCAATTCGCGTACCAATCGAACTTCTCCGACCCGGAATCGGTTTTCGTCTCCGGTTCCGTCGGGAGAACAGTTGGTGACGACGATACACCGGCAGTGAAAAGAACGGATTTTCGCGGTGAGGGTTTGAAGATAAGGGGAATTCGAGAATTGGGTCTCAGACTCGAAAGGGAAGTGAAGATGGGTCCTGAAAACTGGGTCTTGGTTTTGAGGATTCGAAGTGAAGGAACAGTGCAAGCTCCAAGAGCTACTTCCATGGCGGATTCTTCAATGTATTTTCTTTCTTAGCCCTTTGATACATTACACGAAGAAGAAGAGTTATATATAAATATACAAACAGAAGCAAGCGCTGACTTCAAAGAACAGACGCCATTGCCTATTCATGAACCCAAACAGAATGGAAAAGAAGAAAAGAATTGCACTTTGCACCTTTGCATGTCACCAGAGGATGGACACAAACTAAAAAAACGTGAAGTTGCATCTTCATTTATCACCCCATACTTTTGAAGTATTCTATTCATACCCTAAAACTCTGTTTTGTTTCCATTGTACCCCACTTTACTTGAGGAAGCCTTCTAGACTTATAGGCTTGTAGCTTTTTTATAACTACGTTATTGAGACCTTTTGATTTCTTAATTTGTAATATGGAATTGGTTATTGTCATGACTCATGACTTATCAAATTTGGTGTGTCGTTTAATTGCAAAAAGATAATACATAAAAATTAATTTTAATATAATAATACAACATCTATATTAAATTTCCAAATATTGGGTCTATTATAATTGATATATAAGCATTAAAGATTTTCCAAAATTCATCTCGGGAATTTTATTTGACTAAATAGAAAGATCGTAATAAATAGCAATGCATAAACAAACTATCCTTTGTTAGTCTTTGATTAAATAAAAAATAAAATTCAATTGTAAATCAAATATAAAACAATATCGCGCATCTTTATAATTAAATCGATTATTATACTCACCATACATACAAAACAAAACAAACAATAAATTTATCCTATTTATCTCACCACGGCATTTCGAATTCTGCAGCGTTATTCTCGGTCTCGGATATGTAAATTGTTGTATATATATCCATTACTGCGATAATCCGTAATTAACACGATGTTTCCATTTAACAAATAGCGTATAATTTTGACAAATGAATTTGAAAATTTGATAATATTTATACGTTAATCCATAGTAATTTTAAATCTTCATAGTTATATCTGAGAACGTAGCATATTTGGTATATCTCTATGTTAAATAAAATTTTATATACTAATTCGGTCCAATTATATATATATTCTCTTAAATTGTGAACCCAGAACAAGTTAAAACACAACCATTTTATTAAAACAACTCTAAAATTTTTTTCTTTCGAGTACATCATCTAGAATTTTTTTTAATTAATGAATGAATATTTAATACTCTAACAATAATTAGTTACGAATTTTATCATAACTCCTCATTTATTTGTATTAATCTTTCAAACATACATTGGGTACAAGTTGACCCAATCAAAGGTTTAGATAATTAATAAATATAGGTGAATTGGTTGAGTATTAGACAAATTAATTTTAAAGTGAGGTTCGAATCCTCTTAATGTGCTCATATATGAATCTGTCACATATTGTTTTTGGTAATTGGTTTATATATATCATTTGCGTAATTTGTAGATTATTATACGAGAGAGAATTTACCCAATTCTCATCCAAAAGATTATGGTTGTGGATAAAAAAAATAAATTCGTCTTTTCAAAACTTTTGAGATGTGCAATCCCCATACTTTAAAAAGGGTATCAAATCCCAATTTTATCCGATGTTGTTATTATTCCATGCAATCTAGCTTTGGGTATTTCGGTGGGAGAATTTAATCTCAAACCGTACCAAACCGATTCATTGGGTTTATATTCGATTTTTTTAGTGGTTAAAACTGAATTTGTACAAAAATATTTAATAAATATGGATTAGCTTAAGTAGTACGATAGTTTTTAATGGATAATTGACTCCTTATTTTCGCACCAACTGTCATAGCAAACTCATTTAATTGATGTATTCGTGAAAATGAATTTTTTATTTAAAATAAAAAATTGAAAACCAACTAGAAAGAAAGTGCATATTCATAATTTAAAAAAATAAGATTAAATTAATCGATTTAAATATATGAATTTAAAAATTAGGGAAAAGATATCTTAGGACGTTTTTTTTTTCAAAAATCGTAATAATATTGGTAAAGAGAAAACTAAGTGAACAAAGCAAAAAAAAAACAATATTAATAATATCGATTATTATTTTTTTTTTTTCATTTTCAGCTCATTTTTCAATATTGGAATGAATTTTGGATACTCGTGGATTTTACAAGCAAAGATAACCACTTTTTTTTAAAAAAATACTTAGGCATGCAATATTACATAAATATGATATGCTAGCATAAATTTGTTTTTAATATATTTAGTGAAATACAACTTTCAACTGTCTATAAATATGGGCATGCATTTATTATTGTATGAGCTAAATGCATATGTAAATTGCATGTTACACGTGTTTGTTACCTATTGTGCGGTCCAAATTTGGTTCCTGGGATTCCAAACTGAACAAATCTCCAAGCCACAATGACTTTTATTTACAAAATTATTTTTCAAATATATAATATTCAAGAGGAAACCATTTCAACTTTAATCCAAATCAGCCCTATCGTCCCTGGGTACGGATCATTATTAATAGAAACCCCAATCTAAAGATCAAATTCGGACAAACGGTCCAGTTATTTGAAAACCGAATCAAATCCAATTGATTTATATCCAAATTGAATGGAACCGATTAAATCTAAATAATCGTTTGATAATAAAACTTTTAAATTTGAATTATCAACCCAAATTAACTGTGCACCATTAAAAAGACACGAAATTAACCTAATATAACTGTTTGTTCATCCATTTATCATCAATTAAAATATAATATATGTTATATCTATAAAAAAAATAATACAATGAGATTTTTTTTAAATTATTGTATATAACTAAAATGAGGTTTTAAAAAAAATCAATAATGTTCAAAATTTGTTTCATCTGCTATTATAACTAAATCGAACCGATTTTTTTTATTTGGTTATAATTGTAGGACTGAAATATACCGAAATCAATTAAAATCAAATAATCGTTTAGTTATTAATTTTCAAAATTTAAAATAATCATAACCGAATAAACTGAACTAAACCATTCATCCGTCGTGGTCCCGCCGGTAGACAAACAACGAATTTCATATGCCCAACTCGCAAGTCAAATCGAATACTTTGAAATGCATAATACGTTATATATAATCATGTTGATACATCATGGTTATAAAACCGCTATCTCGTTTGGAGAATCGTGGACCGACACAGTTGAGTACAAACTCGGTCCTTAGGTGAGAAGAGAAACATGAGCATGCAATAAAGACAACAGAGACAGAAGGGTTATACGACGTAGCGGTAAGTGACATACACTACAAAAAAACAGTCTTTTAGCAACGAAATTTTTTCATTGCAAACCTACAAATTTCGTTGCAAAACAGTGTTTGAAACGAAATTGCAACGAAAAAATTTTCGTTGCTAGCAACGCAATTTCGTTGTTAATTGAATTTGCAACGCAATTACGTTGCAAGTTGCAAATTTATTTATTTTTTTGATCGGTCAAATCATATTAATTATTAAAAGAAAATAATTGCAACGAAAGTGTTGAGTTACAAATCGTTGCAAAATTCGTTGTTAATCGTTGTTAATTTGCAATGAAATAATTTTGCAACGATTTTGCAACGCTTTGCAAATTAACAACGAAATTATTGCAAATTAGCAACGAAATTATTGCGTTGCAAAGCGTTGCTGATTGCAATAATTTTTTTGCAACGATTTACCAACGATTTTTACAACGCAAAAATTGCGTTGCACGTTAGCAATGAAATTATTGCGTTGCAAAACGGTGCTAATTGCAATATTTTTTTTTGCAACGATTTTGCAATGCTTTGCAATGCAAAAATTGCGTTGCAAGTTAGCAACGAAATTATTACGTTGCAAAGCATTGCTAATTGCAAAAAAAATTGTAACGATTTACTAACGATTTTGAAACGAAAAATTTCGTTGCTAATTTGCAACGAAAATGTTGCATTGCAAAGCGTTGCAAAATCGTTGCAAAAAAAATTCGTTATAAAACGTTGCAATTTCATTGCTAACTTTGCAACGAAATATATTTTGTTGCTAATTAACTGTTTTTTGTAGTGATACTGATTCGTCATTTCGCTCGGATGTATAATCTTCACGACTTTCCACGTTTTAATCCAAAGTATCTCGCGATTGGATCCGTGACCTGTATTCTCGGAAGCTAATAACCATCCACGTTGAATAGGCATGCCAAGATTCCGGAGTTAGAAAACGGACAACGGAAGCTAAAAGTTTATGTATAGAGATTCATTCTCAGTAAAACAAGAATAAACTTAGTTCTGGTCGAAATTCAAAATGATATTGACGATAACATAACCTAGAAGAACCCAATAGTGAGTGGGCGAGTGGTCGGAAGAAAATTATAAAAAAAAAACAACAAAAGAATGGCAAAAAGATTTTATTTTTTTTTCCACGAATTGTCGGAACCAACTAGCCTTGTCTCCTTCACAGTTATCTCTCTCCAACAAAGTTTTCTTCGCCTTAGATGTAAGCACTTGATGCACAGAAACAAGAACAATGTTCTTTTATGTTCACTAGCAATTTCGATTCCTGCACCATTTACAAAATATATAGATGATATCTGTTAAATGATTGCAAAAACATTACCGATATCCAAATTCGGGGGCAAAGAGTCATTCACCTCGAAAATTTCCAAGTGAAATTTGGAAGAAATCTCATTAACGACCTTACACGCAAAACGGGTCAAGCTTGAATAAGAAAAAAAACACACACAGAAGCCACATCATTGTTTTAATTCGACAAAACTCAATGGTTAACCAGAAATATATCTGCATGATTCAAAATAAAGAGAGGGGACTAGAAAATTATGCAAGAAATATTCGTACACATTCTTATAGAGAAAAAATGGAAAATGTAAGAAATAAATTATTATGTGGCCCATGTAATTTGGACTTTCGGATTTTGATATTAAATTGGTTCTTTGATGGATAATAACTCATTATTGAATTAAAACCCAGAGATATTATTGGAAGTATTCTCTCTCCTTATCCTAATACAATTAGGGTTTCCACACCCTATAAAAGGAACATTATAACTCATTATTTCTATCCATCAAGAAAAAACTTACAGAAAGGAGAGAAAACCCTAGAAGATTTTTAGTTTTTAAAGTTATTCCGCTGCAATACATGGATCTAGGTATGATTTTCTGATATATGTTTTATTAATTATTTTGTGTGCATTATACAAAGCAAGATCCGGTTTTATCGTTTGAGTTTTTATAAAAACAAATCTCTGAAATTAAACCTGAAATTATCTTTCAGAAAACACAGAAATGCAAGTCTTCAAACAATCTTGGTGTAGAATAATGTTTACTCTGAGAAAGGGGATATTTTCATTAAAAAGAACCCTAATGACCCACTTTCCGTAGGGACGGACACTCGGTTGAAGACCCAAAAAGTTTCAAGTCCCTACGAACCAATCCGACCTACACAAGGATTGAAATTCACTACTCGTATCGTGTCCGACACGGGGATTCAAGGATACAGAGCTTCGGACGTAAACAGAGCTTTGCCACTCATAGGAGTTAAAGCTATGGTTTCCATGGCTCAAAAGGAAACAAAGAACAGAGAAGTCAAAGCTAAAGGATTACCCTAAGAATCAAACCGTCGTTGAGTTGCAAAGAAGAGAAGATGTTAAGGTGACAGGAAGAGTAATGAGAAACTAAACGAGAAAGTAGAATTAACGCGGCCAATCGACAAATTCTCCTACTAACACCAAACAACGAAAGCATTTTATTAAATAAATCTTAAATGTCTTTTTCTTTCGAGTAACTCTTACATCATCTAAAAACTTTTTTTTTACTTAATTAATAGATGTTCAAAAATCTAATTACAATTAGTTATGAACTTTGGTAAAACTCTTCATTTATTGTATTTATCTTTTAATTATTTTTTTTTTCCAAACATACATTAGGGACAAGTGGAATCTCCAAACATCCGAATGCCAATCAAAGTAGTGAGAGAAATATTCAGTCGCATTTTCTTGCAGAAGAAGTTAGGGTTCTTCTCGGAGACAAGTTCAGTTGCTCCAGTACCCTACATTGCATCTCAGGTGGGTAATCTCTCACACAACCGATCCTCGGTCCTGCACCTGTCGTCCATCGACACGACAACCATTTCCCGAGCTGATACGAACCAGTCTCCCTCCTCGAGCTCATTCTCCCGAGGATCGAATCTCTGGAAACAATTACTTCTTTCTCAAGCAACTCTTCCACTGATGTTGTAAATGGTTTTTGCCAATTGCCCTTGATGCAGTTCTTTGTTTGTTCTGTACTATGTCTTTCACTTTCTTGCTCTGCTTCATGCGTTTCTTCATCAAACCCTTCCATGTCTAAGGACCCAATTCTCCGGTGACGACCTCTGATCGCATCTTGTTCATCTTCTTCCGCAGAACTTGTCTGAATTCATCAATTCAATGCAAGACATCAGAATACGAACACCGTCATAAAGTAAGAGAATACGAGATTCGATCTGTTACATTCTCTTCTTACCTTGACATCGGTGAGATCTACGTTGTTCTCTCTCAGAAACGCAATGAAATCTTGAAAATTTTCTTCTGTTGGTTGGTAATGGCCACTATGAGGCCAAACTGCCTGTCATATATACAATTATCTGGTTGTCAATGTCTTGTTTTGGAGATCTCAATGCAACCAACTAAGAAAACCTCACAAGCGAAACCCGAAAACCCGTGACCTATTTCGATCTTATCACATGATTAATCGTACCTTGAGAACGCCATTCTCGACCACAAGTCGTCCAGCAGCGATCGTTACTCCGCCGGCCAAGAAGCTTGAGTGCTGAAATCTACCTTTCTTCTTCTTCCCCACATACAAAACCTTTGATGTGCTAAGAACAAATATCCACTTGGCTTTAGATTTTTCTCCAACTGTGTGAATTACCTCTCCGGTTTGCTTATACCGGAACTTCCCATCTTCCAAAACCACTTCATAAGCCTGCCTTTCAAGCTATTCAAACAAAAAGATTCAAACTTTGAGCCAAAACTTAATTCTTCTATCAAATTCTCTTGAAATTTCAATTGAATTCGATCAAGAAAAAGAAAAGGGGCTTACTGGACCGAGGTACTGGACACACTGTTGCTGAAGTTTCGACCGGGGACTTTTTTCCAGGTTTACTCTCTTCCCCTCTCCAATATCGAGCCTGGATATTTACAGGATACGTTATTTAAGTATATATGCTCAGATTCTTGTAGCTAAACTATGGGCACGAATGCATCTAGCAGAAGAATATAACTTCTTACCAGTAAAAGAAAGGCTGTTTACTTTGAGTCTCAAGCCACTTTATGTAATAAAAGTGCAGATTATGTCCATATCGATGCCGAGGATCAATCTGTTTTTTGTGCGATTACAGAATATCAAGATTAGGGAAGACCGATGAAGCTGAAAATGTAAGCCACAAAATGCAAAAATCAAAGAAGAATTTAACATACCGCCTCGAGCCAGTGTTGAAGAGCAAGTTTCCGTGCTTTGGAATTCTTCGATAAGCCCTTACCGACCTGAAAGTTTCAAGACAAAATCCTGATAACCGGCGGTGAAATTTGCTCAAGTAAAATCCCTTTGAGAGAACTTTACCTTTGCTGCTTTCGTTTTGGCTCTTGACCAACGAGAAACCGCAGATTCTTGCCTGTCCTTATCGAAAAACAGCAAAGAACTCCGTTCTAATTCCACGAAATCCATGACCTTCCACCTGCAAAGAGTCATTACAGGGCCGAAAAATCGAGAATGAGGAATGAAATCACCAAGAAAGCGCTAGAGACCGAGGTGATAACCAGAAGCTCACCATCCTTCCTCCACAAGAACTGCACAATCAGCCAACTTCCTTCTCGTACGAAAACTTTTATACACTTTCTGCAATTTCACTGCAGCCTCGTCTTCCCGGCCCATTTCTTTACAAGCGGTGTCGCTCGGTTTAGCCATGAAACTTTCACACTTATCAGAGTCATGGAACTCAATTGAGATGATATCTTCTTTAGCCAGATTTTCCGGGCTATCAGATTCAACAACTGATTGATCAAAGCTCACTTGCATTTCGCATTCATCGCTCCCAAATCGAATGGTCCTAACTTTAGCAGACTCTAAGTTGCTTTCATCACCGTTTCTCACATCATCCAAAGAAGAACTTCTTAGCCCCATCTCACAAACACCCGTAAGAAGAAATCATCAACCAATGACTTGTACAAGCCGTAAGAGTTCCTGTTTCAATGGATGGATATAAACATATGAAAGCTTGAACAGAGTTTCACTTATCAAATCACCAAAAATGTAAATGAAATGCCCGGTTTAGGGTGAATCAAAAACCCAAATTATGGGATGAAGAGATTGAAATATCACATTTTCACATCTCAAGTTCCGTCAAAAAGATAGAAAGATCACTTTTTTACATCTAGGATACAATCAAAGAGAAGAAAGATTGCATTTTTATAAACTAAAATGAAGAAATATATCTAAAGAAAGAGTACCCAATTCGCATTGCAGATTAAGGAAACGGGAAATGACCCGACAGAGACGGGAAATGAAACGAGAAAGCTCCGGAAGAAAACGAAATTACCTCGAGGGACGACGACACAACGGAAATGGGTAAAAGACAAGGCTTGACGACACGAGATTTCTGGGATTGATTTCGTTCGAGGATTAGGTCTCTGTCTCCCTCTCTCTCTCTCGCTCGCTCGTGTGGAAAACCTGTGACGCAAGTCAGGGATCTGTCTTCGGGTGTTTATATAAAAGCATTTCGGCTTTGAATCAAAAGAGAGTGAGTCAATTTTTCCTTTCGTTTTGTTTGACTCAGAGAACCAATCACACATTTTTTTAATAGAACCAACAACTTCTTTCGAATTATTGTCTTTAAAAATTAATTTTGGTTTAATTATAATTACAAGCTTGATAGAGAAAATAATTTTACAATTGTTAACTAATCGGGTTTAAATCATTAATTATTATAGAATTATGCGGCATGCTAGACCAGTGTTCACAATACGTAATAATTAGAATATGGATCAACGGCTAATAATTCTATTAAAAACAAAAAACAGAACATACATAGGAAAAAAAAATCAATGAAAATGAATATAACTGAAAAATGTATCTATAGGAAAATATTAGTATTTTGTGGTTTTAGGATATTTTTGTAAAAATAAGTCGTAAATAATTTACAAAAATTCGAAAGAAAAGTTGTAAATAAAAGTGTGTGTTATTGACTGGTCCATGGCGCTTCGCAGGTGCTTACGTCACGGGAGAGAATTCTAGGATCTGCTCCACAATTGGCTTTGACCAGCTGATTTTCTTGATTATATTATCAAAAGATACAATCGCTTCCTTTATTTAAAATTTTATTTGTTAACTTATTTGAATTTTCGTAATAACAATAAATACAACCATATAATAAAAACAAGGCTGATCATTTTAATTATTAACCGAATAACCGATTCAAATAAAATATAACCGTAATCGAATCGAACATAATATAAATGCTGAACGATTACAATTTTTTTAAATTCAACGATTATAATTTTTTTAAATTCAAAAACAAATCGAATCGAACTGGATCGATTAAAAAAATAATCAAAAATTGAATTATTATAATTTTTTTTATAACCGAAATAACCAAACTTAAATATAACTTAATCGAATCGAAACCGAAACACGAATCGGTCATCCACCCTAATAAAAACATTAGGTTTGAATGAGTAATTTATTTATATATTTGAATTAGATTTTTTATTTTAACGGTATTGTTGTTTGTTTTAACAGTTGTTAGATGTTTCATATTCTTTATATTTTTAAACCATAAATTAGAGAATAATGTATGAATGTTTGTTTTGTGTAAAATTAGAGAATAATGTATGAATGTTTAACATAACAATTTCCAAAAATTAAAACCATAATGTTTTACAAAATTTTCAATAAAGATGCATTAACGAAATTGTTAGATTACGAAACATTTTCTTATTTTACTGAAGTTTTCATACAAAATTTTTACTTTTTTAGAAACGAATTGGGTAGAATCAAATTCTATTTTTTTTTTAATTCTCACGTTTGTTATTTAAAAATTAAAATAAAATTATGAACGTTCCACGAAACCCACATTGAGCCTTTGTCGGACCACGTGACAAATTTAACCAAATTAACCATCTTCACCCCCTGTTTTGTCTTTTTTATTTTTATTTTATTTTTTTTATTATGAGTCAACTGCAGAAACCTAACTTAAAGCAAAATATATTAACCAATCTCAAGTTTCACTCGGCATTATATAAAAAATATCTTACTTTGTTATTCCTACTTCAACACATACACTATGTGATCCAAAATATAGTGTGGTCATATATTGATTTTATTGATTATAACGTTAAATTTATAGCGATCTCACTAATTCATTATGTTCATATATTGTATATCTTACTAATTATTTGATTAAAACATTATAAATTTAACATTATGAACAATGAGATCAACATGTTACCACATTATATTTTGGATCAAATAGGCTAGAGGTGGAAAAAATTGTATGTTGAAATAGGAATAGCAAAGTAAATGTATTTTTGATAATGATCCTTTTTACTCCCAGGTTAGTACGTTTTCTTTGATTCTCCGTTCATATATTTAAAAATCCACACAAATTAGTCCGACCAAAAATTCAAAAATTTTATTCAGAAACAGAGTAATTACCCTTCTGGGTATTAATTAATGTACATCACAAGGGTGGAAGAAAAACAGTATAATGCTGTCAAGAACACATCCTACTCCAAAAAGCTACACCTTCATCACTTGCATCCCCATTTGTTGTTCCCTCATTGAATGTTAACCGGACCCCCCATGCCCTGTTTCGATCTGTAAGCGTCGATAATTACAGTAGTTTAAACCGGTTATCTCCAAGATACGTATTATCCATAAACTTTTTTTTTTGTATCCATTCCATGGAGATTTGGGCAAGAGCTGCATCAGGCGAAGCAAAAACGTTTGATCAAACCGGCATTGTCTGAAATCTCAAGTGCTTGTACTTCTGTTCCATGTTGAAGAGTCTCGTGCTTTCCGACAACCCTTTCGACAAAACCAGCTTCAGTGCATCGACTCCTTCTGCTAATGCTGTATCGATCTTTCATGGAGATTCCAGAGCGGAAAAAAAAAGGTTATCTTTCTACTTCTTGGGATCAATCATTGTTTGATAAATCTGTGAATGCCTAAAAGACTTACTCGTTCTCTAGCTGGTGCGTTGAACTTCTGCAGCAAGAATGCTTTTGGGTCCATCTGTCCCGGAGGCCTTCCGATTCCTGACGATGTTTGATATTATGAAAGTTCAGAACCGAAGATATTGAAGCAGAGGGGGTAGAAAGAGGTGAACAAAAAGGGTCAACTAACCGACTCTTAGCCTTGCAAACTCCCTGTTACCTCGGAAATGGTAGATAACACTCTTTAACCTGAGAAAGAAACAAGAATATCTAAGAACTAGCCCCCTATAAAGAGCTGATGCGGAGAAAACAGCTTGCAGGACTTTAAAGAAAGCTGAATTGATAGAAAGAAAAAATGACGAGATGGCAGAGATATCGCTTGACGACATGAATGACCTAAGTAACCATGAATATTGAGTAGTTTTGGAAGTCACCGCTCATAAAACAAACGGTATTTAAAAAAAACACGGCAAAGCTAATAGATTTTGAAAAATGGGGAAAAAGATATAGAAGAAAAGCATTTGATTCAACATTTCGACTTGATTTAAGAAATTTGTGATTGTGGTAAGAGAAGCAATGTTAAGAATGTTATCTATTAACTTTCTTTTACAATATGACCTCTCTTTCCTATACCACATGTTTGATAACAAACGTTTGTAAGTTCTTTTTAGTTTATAAAATATAATAACGTAATACCCGTTATGGCTTCCGTGACCTCCTTTATGTTGAAGACGAAGTACCCCGCATGGTAATTGCATGTCGTCATGAACCTACAATACAAAATTCCAGAATGCTTGTTAAAGTGTAAGCATAAATTGTTATAAATAAAATGAATGCCAAAAACAGAAATTACCACAAGCACACGAGTAAGAGGTAGCTTGTAATAAGCCGCAAGAGGTCCACTCTGTTTATGTTCAAGGAGAGATATAGTTAGTATCGTATTGGACCAACTAACGAAAATTCAAAATAAAGAACTATAGAAGAGACGGGAAAAAGGGGGAAACAACAAGTACTATAGAAACAATAGGTGTTTTTAATAGCATTAGACTCTTTCTTCATTGTCACAATGACCAACTCTATGGCCATACGTTTCTGAAACACCATTGTAGTGCCAAAATTGGAAGCATAATTAGTAAGATTCCCATCAAGTCCCTTCGGTGAAAGCTAACAACGTAACAAGGGTAAGTATGCTATATGATTCTTGTAAACGAGCGCCAGGACAGCGTACAGTAAATAGCAGTCTTCAATGCTACTTAATCATTCATCCATTTCCAAGAAACCAGAACGTGACAGTATCATAAATGTTGAAGTCAACTGAATAAAAAATATAAGGTGATTGCAGAAAAATATTAGAAATCCAGCCCCAGTCAACATGTTTTCACGATGTTATACTCTACATCAGAGCAAGCAGATTACCGATTCACCACTCAAGTTCATGTAGGTTTGGGGCTTTGCTAGAACAACAGGTGCATCACCCACGAAACCTGAGACAGAAGAAACACTTAGAAAAAACCGAACACAAATTTAACTTTTCACCAAATATACAAGAGAAATCAGAATCATGAAACTACTAACCTTGTCCCATTACGGCCTTGAAGTTGGCCGTATTCATCTGAATCCCAACTGATTCAGCAAAAACATCGATCATCTCAAACCCAACCTGCATGATATCGAGACATACAGCGAAAGATAATTGACCAACAACAGATACCAATGCCCGAGTTTATAAAGTACTTGGTCGCTAAAATTGTTCATACATTGTGTCTAGTTCCTTTGTACTTGTCCCCAGGATTGCCTAATCCCACGAACAGCCATGGCCGATCAGCCGAGGTGCAGAAGCAAAGCCTCGAGAATCTACTCAGCATAGCCTCCTTATTTGCCCTCAATTCGTCCTATATTCTAAAACCTAGACCCCAAATCGAAAAGCAAACAAAATCAAATTATGTGACTTCAGGGTGATGAAGCTATAAAACCTAACAACATGATCTCAAATTCCAAACCCTAGTTTTCATGTCTACAAAGTGATCAAGTGAAGAGTTACAACCTGTATAGTCAAGGCGCATACAGTTCCAAATTAAACTCACTCAAAACAAGAACAAAGTTCCCATAAGCAAATTTTTCAAACTCCAAATAAGAACATCTCTGGATTAGCACTCCAACTAAACAACTAACCCAAACTTTGACTAGATTAAACTGGTTTTGCTTAGGATTCTTGTCAGCCAGATTCTTAGTAAGACAAAATAGGACTTCTAATCTGAGTGTTCCTGTACCAGAAGCATCAAAAATCATGATCCCGAAAATTTTTTGACTGAAATGTTGACATATCACAATGCACAGAATTTCAGAAACTTTATCGATTTACCCATATGGGAAACGAAAAAACAGTCCAAAAGTCACATCTCTCTCTCTCCCCACAAAGCACTGCCGTATCAAAAAAAAAAAAAAAAAAAAAAACCTCACCAGCACTGCAGAACGACGGCGGCAAAACCACAGTTCACACACACACGAGCTATATCCCCTTTTCTCTTTTTTTTTTTGGGATAACTTGTTGGCATTTGATTGAAGGGACAATCGCATTTTAAAGGTTGATATTTTTAATTGAAATAAACACCGATCCTAAATTCGAAATATCCTATTATATTCTAATATTTTTTTATTTTTTTTTTGATAACCGGGTAATCCCAGGCCCAAAGGGCCCGACTAATCCCGACCCACACGCACAACCGGCACCACACGTGTGGGATGTGAAGCACCCGAAGGTGGCCGGAGGGAAATCTCCATACTCTGGGTGTTGAACCCACGACCTCTTGTTAAGGAAGTGGACTCTCAAACCACACGAGAGTTGGGGGAGATCCCTTTATATTCTAATATTTATCACTAAAAGGAAATCAAAACCTAAAATTTGTATATTTAAATTCTATTTCTTAAGATTTAAATATTAACGTTGTAATCAAAGACTGTGCGATGATAAAAATTAGAAATAACATAGAAGACTGCAAAATGTCTGGTTTTGTTTTTAGTAAAAAAGGTCAGAGTTCAGTATAAAATTTCCAAAGGTTATGATTTTCTTTTTCTTTTTTGAAAAAGATCGCAGAAAAGAAATCAGTTTTGTCCGAGTATAATATGCCTATCTCACTCGGGCAATTTCCCAAACACTTGGTGTGCATGAACTGACTGGATTCTTAATCCGATTCAACCCTCTTAATGTACCGAACAAACTACCGGCTAAACCACAAAAATGCTTATCGAATAGCACTCACACGCCTCCGATCAATCAGACCTCAAGCCGTAAAACCGATGCTCATATACACACATATATACACAGATATACAGCAACTCATACACCAGAATATACACACACACGAGCGAAAGAGAGATAGTAAACGTACAATGTACGTAACTCACGTTGTGCGAGCCCTTACTCACGACGGGAGATTATCCCAGCCACCGCCATCGCTGTTTCTTGAGATTTTGCTTGTCGCGATACAAAATCGATCAGAGAGAGAAGTTTGCAAGAGAAGAAAAGGAGAAACCTTACTTCTATCCTCTCACCAACATATAAATTAGAACTACAACCTTTCCCCGATTTTGACAGAAATGCCCTTCTGGTTAAAAAAAAAAAGTTTACGGACGGTAATTTTTTTACGGTTTTTTGGGTCCGGTTGCGGATGTTCGGAGATAAATGAGACGTTAAATTTGATACATCGTATGTTTTGGGAACTTAAACGGGGTTGATTATTTTTGTAAACTCGTATTCGAATTTGTATGTTTTGGATTATGTTGGATCAAATTTGTATCATTTTTGTATGGAATTTTTTGACAATCGATCATATTATCTATATTATCCGAATTAATGGTCCTCAGATATATTAGCTCCATTTATTTTTTTGATTTATCGAAATGAATTAGAATTCTAAGAGAGACTAGGAGATATAATTTGTTGCAGATATATAATAATCGTGCTACATAAATTACAAGATAGATTAGACAACGACAGTAATCATGCCTTACATATATATCGAAGATAATAAATTTGGAATAATTATTGAGACCATCAACAACGTCTGTTACGAAATAAACAACTACATAATGACTGCCCCTCCAAATTTCTATTTTAAAAAATATATCCTATGAAAATGCTTTGCACGTCATTAAGACATGGAAGCCAATTAACTTAAACCTCTTCCAGTTTTCTCGAGTGCCTATTATCTTGGAGAAACTGATATTTCAAAATCATATATATTATTATCACAGTTAATACATACATACATACATACATATATATAAAAAACAGATTTGGATTTAGGCTAATGGCATTAAATTCAAAGATACTAATATATTTAAATAAAAAGAATATTAATTTTATGTGTTTATATAAATTTATCGTATGAGTATCTTTTATGTTTTTCTTAATACTATTATTATTGTCTGCTAATAAATTTTATACAATCATCCCTGAACTACTTAAATAAAACAAAAGAATAAGGGAAACAGGAATAAGTCTTCAAGCTTTGAAACCATGAAAGACGAGCGACCCACTAACCCCCAAATCTCCAAACCACAAAAACTCTCTCCTTTACCCCCACATTTCATAACCCTAATTAATGCCTATATATATATATATATATATATATTCACTTGCAAAAACATAACATGGAAGTATCAAATTTTGATTTTTCCTAAAACCCCAAAAATACAATGGAACACCAAATAACTCAGAAGCATCAGCCAAAGAACAACACAACAAAGAAGAAAAACAATGCCAGCAACAACAACAACAATGGCAAGACCAAGTTTGTCGGAGTCCGACAAAGGCCGTCGGGGAAATGGGTAGCGGAGATCAAAGACACGACGCAGAAGATCCGAATGTGGCTCGGAACTTTCGAGACGGCTGAAGAGGCTGCTCGTGCCTATGACGAGGCCGCCTGCCTCCTCCGCGGCTCCAACACTCGCACCAACTTCGCCACCCAGTTCCCCACCAATCCCCATCTCTCTTTGAAGATTCGGAATCTTCTTCACCAGAAGAAAAACATGAAACAACAACAAGAACAACAACAGAAACGGATCACTACTACCGTGGCAGCGGCCACGATTCCCGCATCATCAAACGCAGTGATACAACCAGCCGATATGCTGGACAACGTGTATCGCCCCGATCTCGCTGGCTGCATTGCCGGACAGCCAGAAGAACACGAAGGGTTCCATCTTTCTTACCCGTGGCAACTTCTCGCGGGATTCGATCATCAAGTCCCTTCGGCTCGAGCTGCATCGGAGACAAACCTCGGACATCACCATCAGTTCCAAGATCCCGACACAACTGATCAACAACCGAATCTAGGGTTTGCGGAACTCCAACGGATGAAAGACATGGAGAGGCAGGTATCAGCGTCGCTATACACGATGAGTGGAACCAACTACGACTGCATGACGACAGAATACGCCATTTTCGATCCGACCGATCCCATTTGGGATCTCCCTGCGCTTTCCCAATTGTTCTGTCCTACATGATCTGATCACTTTCGTCGATGTAAAGTAGATATTACATCTCCTATATATATATATATACCCGGCGTATACAGACCAGATTTGTACGTAAACAAAAAATGGGGCATTGTGTAAGGTGGTTAATATATACTTGTGGTTTGTGCAGCAATGGTTGGCAAAGAACTCGGAACTTTTATCAAAAAAAATAAATAAAGAACTCGGAACTTGAACGTTCATTTCACTACCAGCTTGCATAGACAGACACGAGAATGAACACGAAAATAATCTCTGTCTATGTAAGATTTTTTTTTATAAAAAAACTATATAAGATTTTTTATTTATGATATTATTAATTTTGTTTTTAGTAATGTATAAACGGTAATATTTCTTATTATCGGAAGTTTTGGTTTAGAAAAATCCAGGTTGATAATAGGAAAAAACAAAAGTCAAAAAGCAAGCAAGGATAAATTAACAATTTTTTAAAAAATTAAGTCCACTACAGTCAAGGGCAAAATTGTCATTTAAATCAAGATGCATCTCAACTAAAAACGAATAAAGTCCTCGTGGATGCATAATATCAAGACAAAATTTTAATTTAATGCAAAAATTAATTCCATTTTGTCTTACGAGATCGCTGAATTTCAAGCTTTTATCTTTTAAATGATCTGTAAACTACGACCATTTAGAAAACAAAAACTGAAAATATTATATGCTTTAATTTGATTCAGAAGAAAATTTTTAAACGTAATTTTTTTCATAGTATAATTGATATTGCAAGATCTGAATAATAATCCAAACTAACCGAAATAATATTATTCTGAGAATTTTAGACCATATAATGCCTTATATATAATTTTTCAACCAATAATCCAAATATTTGTTTTCATTTTTTATTTGAGAAAATCCAAACATTGCTTGTACTTTTGGTATAAATTTTGTCTGTGTTTGACTATTTTATTTCCATTTTATATAAAAAAAAATGAAATTATCAAGTTCTTGAGTAACACGACGGAAATTACTAATAACAATGTCAAGACCATAACCAAATGAAAAAAAGATTAGAAATACATGTTATATGGTCGATAATCAAAATAAAAATAAAAATAAAAATTGTTAAGATCAACCATCTATTAATTAACTCATGCAAAACAAAAATATTTATCTTAATTTTCACTCAAATGATTTTTATATTAAAACATAAATATCATTGGATGACTTTTACTTCAATATTATTTAAGTAGATATCATGTATCTTTGTTTAATTATATATTGTATTAGCATATCATCACATACATATATCATCTAAGACATTATTATGGTGATATGATATCTAAAACAATCTAGATCAGCAGTTTTCTTTGGAATAAAAATATATTTATTAATATATAAAATCGATAAAGTTTAGGTGTCAAATTAAAAATAAAAGAATATAACTATTGAAGTGAAAAATTATACAATATATATATATATATTGCAGTATTTTCCAACCGAATTTCATAATTTGAGAGGATTTTTTTCATGATTTTAGTTATTATTAAAAAACTGGAAATTCACATGTATATTTTTTCTCAATTCGACAAAACTGAGGATAATATAATATCAAAGAAAAAATATAAGACAACATAGAGAACAAAAACAAGGGCTTGTTTGGTGCCGTATAGTTCATTTAGTTCACCGCTGTAATATATAAAGCCCCACACCGATTCTGCTTGTTCTCGTCCACGAGCTCTCTCTCTCTCCTCTCTCTCTGCGGAATCTCTTCTTCATATTTGTGTGCGAATCCCGTACGGAAAGAGATGGCAGAGGAAAAGAAGGCTAAACCGAGCGGTGTCTGGACCACTGTCAAGCCCTTCGTCAATGGCGGTGCCTCCGGTATGCTGGCCACCTGCGTCATCCAACCGATCGATATGATCAAGGTATGTGTTTCACCGGTATAGTGTATGTATCGGCGTGTGCGTGTAAGCACTCATGCGTTTGCGTATAATCGTTTGTTGATTTACTGATGTTGGTTTGCTCTCGATGCGTGGAATTTGTGTTGTGTTCCTCAGATGCGTGAGGTTAGGGATTTGATATTTGCATTCCAGATCTGGGTTTTGGTTAAATTTATTGTCTCGGCACGCATTTGCGTACATTTGTTTGTGTACGTGACTATTTCCGTGATTTGTTCACTGGTGTGTAATTTTATCCGTGATCTGTAACTTTTGAGTTATTCTTGGTGCTGGAAATTTAGTTTTTAGGTGAAAGTTTTCTACTCAGATCTGGATTTCGAGATTTAGGGTTCAAGTGTTTGATTCAGATGCACTGAAAGGTGTTTTTTTTAATTGGTATAGGTGAGGATTCAACTGGGACAGGGATCTGCAGCTTCTGTGACTAAGACCATGTTGAAGAATGAGGGTTTTGGTGCATTCTACAAGGTTGGGATCGGTGATTCTTTTTGCAATTCACTTATTCATTCTCCTTGATAAGCTTTCCGGTGTTGGTCCTGTACTTGCCTTATAGATTCAAGATCTAAAAAGCGTGAAAGTGGATCCTTTTCTTGGTTAGGTAGTTTTTCTTGTGATTCTGGCATTGAGGGTAGTAATAGTTACTTGCATGTTCATTCGGTTGATCTATGTTTTTCGCAAGGATGGGAATTTTCTGATTTGGTATTCTTTGTTCATGGAATTTAATTCACATCTAGATACCCTTTTTTTTATTCTACTGATTTTTGTATCAGTTTCACTGGTATACTCGTGTTTCTTATGTTGATGTCGTATGAGCTTATTCGATGTGAATTTTTTCAATAGGGGTTGTCTGCTGGTTTGCTCAGGCAAGCAACTTACACCACTGCCCGTCTTGGATCATTCAGGTAAGTCGCAATTGGCGATTAGCTTATGCCCATTGCCCATTCTAAGCTGTGAATACTTTTTATTGCCCTTTCATGTAGTGGTTATGTCTACTCTCTTGTTCTATGTACTGATAGAAGTATCATTATGATTTAGGATTTTGACTGCAAAAGCAAGTGAGGCTAACGAAGGGAAGCCCCTGCCTCTGTATCAGAAGGCGTTGTGTGGTCTAACTGCTGGTGCCATTGGTGCTTGTGTCGGTAGTCCAGCAGACTTAGCACTTATCAGAATGCAAGCTGATGCTACATTGCCAGCAGCTCAACGTCGAAATTACACAAACGCCTTCCATGCGCTTTACCGTATATCTGCCGATGAAGGAATTTTGGCACTTTGGAAAGGTTGTGGGCCCACTGTGGTGAGAGCCATGGCTCTAAACATGGGAATGCTTGCTTCTTATGACCAGAGTGCTGAGTACTTCAGAGATTCCCTCAATTTCGGGGAAACATCTACTGTGATAGGTAAGCTTACACTCCCGAGGTTTTGTGATATTCGTCTGTTTTTGCCTTTGTTGGATATTATTGTTCAGTTTGTAAATGTCTAAACAATATTTAGAGAACTTCTTTGGGTTTAGGGTTCAATCGATCATGTCATTTTTTTCAAGTGAAAGAAAATTTTCAAATGTTGGGACATTGGGATTTGCAATATAAAATTTAACAGAGACACCATTTGAAATTTGAGTTACCCTTTCTTAGTCTCAAAGGGCGTTTTCTGTTGAGACAACACGGTTGTGTCTATTTGTGTGGTCCTGTCTATTGAATAACATTTTTAGTTGGTGAAGTTCATACACGGAGTTCTGGTCGTGGATGACATGCGAAAGCATTTTAGGCTATTGCCCTAAAGCCTTTATTTCTGACATCTTCTAGTTATCTTTTTTCTAATATTGTCTGATGGAGTTTATTTACACATTTCTTGAAGCTTGGTCAAATCTAGTTCCTTTGTTTCTAATACTGCATATTGCTGCTTTTGCCATTTAAATCTCTTGACAATATGTTTTCCCGAGTCTACGAGATAACTTCGGTCAGATACATTCAAAATTCGTGTTGCCGTAGAGAATATTTGATATCTTGCATTTGAACTTTTCCACTGATATTCTCGGAGCCCTTTCCATGTACACATTCTATGTTCATAAATCGGACTCTGCCTGGTTATCTGATCTTTTTTCGTGTTTTGTGAATGCAGGAGCAAGTGCTGTTTCAGGGTTCTTCGCCGCAGCTTGCAGTTTACCATTCGATTATGTCAAAACCCAGATTCAGAAAATGCAACCCGATGCCGAGGGAAGATATCCTTACACTGGATCTCTTGACTGCACGATGAAAACCCTAAAAGCCGGTGGTCCGCTGAAATTCTACACAGGTTTCCCGGTTTACTGCATTAGGATCGCTCCTCACGTCATGGTAAACACGCTTCCCCCTCTTCTGCCGCCGACCCTTCTTTCGATTTCTTGTGATTCACGGGACGTTTTTGGATTATTGTTTTTGTGCAGATGACATGGATCTTCCTGAACCAGATCCAGAAACTGCAAAAGAAGGCTGGATTGTGATGTGCTTTTGAACGTTAGTAAAGCTTTCGTCTGAGACAGAAGCTTCAGCGAATAAGATATCATAAAAGCGAAAACAACAAGGGAGTCACATTTTGGCTTATGATGATGTTTCTGCATTATTGTTTATTTGATATAATATCTTATTTATCCAGCGACTTGATTTTCATGAAAGCCTATGCACATTAGCAGTTTTGTTTTGTTTATTTCGGATTATGGCTTTAAGGGCATTGAGAATTTGATGAGATTAGACGTTCAAATAAGTTTTATTTCTTCGTTGGAAATTTGGCACGTGACTAATTTCTTTTGATGTTTTGAATAGTCATAGTTAATTAAGGGTGATCATAATTAACCTCTTTTTGGGTTTTCTATTTAAGTTCGGATTCGTAATGGGGTAATGTACTTTGAGTTACGATACATTCGGATTTTATTATTTCAGATTTGATATAAATATCAAATATAACTAATATTTATTAAAAGCTATAAAATTAACCTTTCCTTGAAAATGCAAAGAACAACGTTATCTCCCCTTTCAAAACAGCCTCTGAAACACGGTCCTAAAACCCTAAATTTGCATCCGACAAGATGAGAAGAAAAAGTCCAAAACTCTGATCTGGTTGCCTTACAAACACTGAGAGTTTGAAAGCAACTTTCCGGTGAAACTGTAAGAACATCTCCACCTTACTTTGCAACAACCTCTTTGTGAGCTTTGAATGACAGAATCACATTCCAAACCAGAGCCACCACGTTCGCCGCCAGCACCTGCAGACAAAACACGACAGACGAAAAAACGATTCAAAGTTTCCGGGATTTTCACGAGCAGAGACTACACAAATGACACCTCGAGATATAGTATACAACGGTAAGAAATGCATCAGAAAATCGGGCGGAAGACATCAGTGTATGCGATATTCTATGGCCTTTTTGAAACTGATATCAACAATGGTAGAATCTTCGATAAGGATACTAGTCGTCGGTAAAGGGTACCACCAGAAAACTCTTCCGAGTCTTGGAGCTTATGTTATTAACCGATAAAACAACGATCCAAAATGATATCATATTTAGCATACGATAGAGATGCATCGCAGCGTTTCTAATGCTAATAATATACCTGGAAGCTCTGGGGAACGAATCTGAAGTTAAGAAATTGGAAAGGTATCCACAGTTGCCAATTTGCAAGAACAGCTCCCGTCCATTCCTACACATCCCAGAATTCAAGAATCCATGATTTAGATATCAACATCATCAACATCATGAAGTTCTTTTTCGGTTTCTGCAAAAAAATTTGGCCTCAAGAGTTCATTAGCTTTTTTATCCGAACCTGTTGTAGCTTCGGCATGACTTGAGATGGTTTTCCTTCTAGTGTCACCAACGCTGATAAGAAAACTCCTACGAAGATGGGAGAGAAGATAAACTGCAAGAAAATCGGTGTCAAGACACGGAAGAGGATAAATGAGAAGAGACTGCGAGGGGGCAGAAAACAAACCATCCACCTACCTGATCAAGTATAAGGCGTAAAACTGCACCCGATACTCCAGAAACTGTCACCAATTTGCTCAAATACAAATACCTAATAACGCCCATTTCACATCAAATGAAAATAGATAAAAGAGGGAAACTTCAGGGGGAGAGAAGAGTATCTACATAACACATTTGGAGATTCTAGAGAGTGTAGATCAAGAGCAAAAAGATCGGACTTTACAGCAATACAACAGCCAGCTACCCAGGTTTGTGCATAAGTTGGTAATACAAGCCAAACAGTTAAAAAGGGCGTTAAACGGAGGAAATAATATCTGCTTCTTTGGTGGTGCCACAAGAATAAGCAAAGGAGAAAATGTATGACGTAAAACGTTACAGAAGTATGGCATGAAAGGACCCGAAAGGCGAATAGAGGTGTAACGTGATGGAATTACCAGAAATGCAATGTTGGACCGACTAGAACTAAGCCCAAGAAGGTAAAGAGAAGCATTCGCTTGGTGTCAAGTGAGGAGACCTTATCAATGGCAAGCTGAAACCAACAGTAGTAACCATTAGTGATTAGTGAGGTCGTTTTTTTCGAATAGCCCCATCCTTAACCGAAAACCAAAATAAAGAATGGACAAAACAACGAAACAAAACCATATTGCCTGAAAACAGGGAGTCCAAACCAAGTGAAAGTGAGCCTGAATTCCAATAACATCTCCTGAAATTGAAGCACAGATAAAAGACTACCTGGCAGATCAAATCTCCAACGAGATTCAAGATTGCCGATGTCACTGCCTTTGTTAAAACAGGATAATCTGAGAGAAGAGCCAAGTACCTGGAAACATCACATACATTAAACTCAAACAACACAAAGTAAATCATGGAAATACATCAAGTTACTCCCAGTGTTTAGGAGTGTTTTTGTTCACTTTGGGACTAAACCCACCAGCACTAAACCGTCTCTCATTTTCCGACAAGCATCCACTCGGACTAAAAGCATTAAAACATAGTGCATCGGACTAAAGATCTCACCTTTTTATCATCAAATTACACCCAGAGAAGTTCTACGTGACAAAGAAGAAACCTAATTTCACAAGAATTGGCAGAGGAATCTTTACCATGAGAGAAATGACCATTTCTTTCCTCCATCCTCTCCGCCGCCGCCGCCGCTACCAGAATCCCCGTCGTCACCTCCGCCGCCGTACCCACCGGAATCGCCCGACCCGCCACCTGAGACCGACGAGACCCGACCCGGATGCCCAAACCCACTCTCAGAACGCCCAAACCAATTCCTAGGACCACAATTCAGTGACACATGCGAAGAACATTTTTTGTATCCAAACCCGATAACTCGACCCGAACCCACTTCAATCCGGTTCCTATGGTCAGAGAGCGAAGTGGGTTTGCCGGAAAATCCGAGAAAATTGAACGGAAGTGGAGATTTCCGGGAA